CCTGTATGAACCAATTCCTTCTTCCAATTTCTTGATTTAAATTGGCAGTTTTGAAGGAAAAGATGGACTCCATTTCAGACAGCATTTTTACCTTACACTCGACATAACTGGACACAAATCAAGCCTTGGTACAGAACCAAGGGCAGCTACAGCTGAAATAAAGCAGAACTGGTGAAAGACTGCCTGTGAGATTAAGGTGTAGAATTTCAGAAAAAACGCTGGCTGTCCTTGCTATCGTAAACAAAGGTCTGAAATGAACAATCAAAAGTAGCTGTAGTTGCTCATGTTGATCTGAAGGGCTGATATAAAGTAAGTAGTTGCATGCAAAATGGATCGAGTACGTTTAGGAATCATGTATATTTAAATTACAAAACAAAACACAAAACCCAAAACAACAGAAAACCTTCAGGGAGGTATTCATTGTCACTTAACTTCAGGAATTTTTGCAAACACCCTTTTAATCTTTTGTGTCATATGTTAAGCAGATAGTGATAATTTCATGTAAGGCAGCTGAAACTCATTATGTAACCAGCTAACTGAGAAGGCTGTGGCTAAACAGACTTGCTTACATGGGTGATAAACTCAGCTTGTGGTTTTGTTCTTTTCTTGCAAACAGAAAGCAAAGTCATTTATACCAGAAAGACTCTTTGAATACTAAGTTACAAGGAAAGATTTCAGGGGAGGTGGTGAAGGGCAGTATTTAAGAATGAGCACAGGTAATAAAGCGAGGAAGGCAGCACTAGACTTCTGTGTAACGTCTGTGATGGATGGAGAAGTGCTCTCAGATGCAAGGGAAACACGGACACATGCATTGAAATTGAGATGCAGCAAACGAGTACTTAAATCTTGTATCACTTTTCTAGCTCCTAAGCATTACGGAAAGAACTAGAAGCGTTTGGGAGGACAGGAATCGTCCTAGAACAGTTGTAGTAGGAGAGGCAGCACCATCTCAATCTTGTTTGCTCAAATGCGTACCCAGTCTCACCAACGGGGTATGTGAAATGGCCAGGGAGTGAGAAAAAGGGGTGTGATCAGTGTTTCAAAATGCGTTATGCAGTTAACGCTGTGCTGAGGTTGTGCTCTGATGGCTGGAGTGAAACAGATGGCAAAGGCACGAACCTGAGGCGCGTTCGGGCTTTTCTCAGTGTTAACAGATAAAATGTATTTTACGTTAGATGCAATACAACCATTCTGCAGATCCCCTCACCCCACATGCACTCTTGAGAGAAGACCCATAGCAAGTACTTAGGGCAGGGATAAGAAGATACATACGGTCTGGTACTTTTTCTCAGCTGTGAACGCTCTGTTACTTAGAGCCTTGGTGAACTGGAAGTTATTCCTTGATCTTTGGTTCTTGTAGTTCTTGATGGGAGAGTGATCTGTTTAACCCTGTTTTGAAGCTGCTTTTACTTTCAGCATCCAAAAATGTCCTCTATCGGTGAGTTCCACAACTTTTTTCATGCAATGACTTTATTTAGTTTTACAACACAGGGTGTCCTAAATCTCATGCTGTAAAACAGTGATTATTCACCGTCTCTGACATGAAATGACATGGTGACATGTTTGTTTCCAAATCATTTGTTAGCCTTGCTCTTTACAGGAACAAATGTTGCTGGTAAGAAATGAAGTCAAACTTCAGAAGGCAACACATGTTGCTATGCAACATTTGACCTTTGGCAAGTTTAACAAGACATCCTAAAATAAATCTTTCTACAGCAGCATTATACATGTTAAATGCATATTATTTACAACTCCGTTCTGTGTTTGAATGTCATAAATGTAATATAATTTATAGATGGACCATACTATGTGTCTTTTGCTTTATTCAGGTTAATTCAACCCTTGATTATTTGAATATGCTCAGCCTATTTCTGCTTTTATTAAGAAAAGCTATACTCTAAGCTAGGGTCATTTGTAATCAGTCAAGACAAAAGGAATTCTTCTTTTAAGAACTTGAATAGTCATGAGCAATTTATTACTTCAAAGTCCCTTCAGAAATTCCACTAAGTAAGTTTTCAGAGTGTCTCCCTTACTTTGCACCACTCATGCAGGAACTTGAGGCTTCACCCTATGTCCCCCAAATGCAGAAAAATTTGTAATACTCCACTTCGTTTGTAGATGGGCTGAGAGACTTCCTAAATGCCCTCTTATATCTAAGGGAACTTAAATCCACACTTTATTCCAGGCAAGTACACTGAATATTAATCTATATTAAAGGAGAAAATAAGCTCTATGTTTCTTGTCGAGCTAAAGAAAGACAACACAGGACTTGGAGATGAGAAGATTCATTTAAGAGAGAGATGGCTTTAGTTTCTATTCCAAGGACTGTTTGTTTATTGAAAGCAGCCTTTGGGGAAAAACTGCAGTAATCTTTATCCCAGTTTGAGACAGATGCCCCTTCCTATTCAGGGTGTGGGCTACCGTACCACTCGTGCCCTATGTTGGGGAGGTTACCTGTGCTGTCACAGAAGTGATACAGCCACTGGTGCTGCAGGTGCTGCATGGGGCATGATCTAGCCCTTTGTTTACAAACCCAACCATGTTGCAGATCTTAAAATGAAGCACTTTCCAAGAACCACATATGCAGAGCAAGAAGCAACACGACATAAATAAACCTCAAACACTGTTCAAAACTGCAATCCAATCCCTCTTTCCTGTCTCCTTGTATGTATTTTACCTATCTCGACCCCAAACAAATACACTAAACAAGCCCATTTAAGCTGATAGAAGCTATTTTCATCAGCAGTGAGGCTGAGAGCAGTAGTACACGCTACTACCGCAGCTGATCATCACTGCTTTAAGTCCAACAGGTAGCACCCAGACACCAGAACCGAAGTCTGTAGAAAGACGCAGTCAGCTACGTCTGTCTGACATTCAGCAAGACTAAACTCTTCACATGCCTAATGTCCAGGTATTCTGTGCCACTTCAGGCATTAGCTTGAGATGCCTATGTTACAAGCATAATAGCCCTAGGTTTTCCCTGTAGTTAATAGAGCAAGTTTTTGCAGAGGGAGTAACTATACATCTAACTTCGGCAGTGCAGACATTTGTCTACGCTTGAGCAGGATAAATTTTAGTTCAGGTTCTTGATTTGTGGATTACAGTGTGGGGGAGTTACATAAAGTCAATGATTAGGCTTAACATCCTTACTCAAAAGTTTTCCTTTGTATTGTTCCAAATTCTCAGCTATTTGCACATGTACTTCCTTCTGTCTCATGTGAATTGTTTGATGTTCAAATTGGCTCTGAAGGAAGCAGAGTTTTCTTCCAAAGAGGAATCAAACAGATAATACTTGGGTGATTTCAAGAGCAGCCAGAGACTTGACAAACAAGTTCTGCAGGTTGCCTTTGCCAGATCTGCTCAGCATGAGGAAGCCTGCGCAAGAGCCACAGCCACCCTTGGGGAACAGGCTCCACCCCACCAGATCAGTTCCTCTGACACATAATCTAGAGGATAAGAAGAAAACATGGTCCTAACGAAATGTACGCAGGTTCCTCAATGAAGCATGCTTTAAGAGTTAACAAACAAGCCAGCCACTTTATTCAACAAGAACTTTTTACTCAAGTCTTCAGTCAGCAAGGAAGTTTTCTGCTCATGATTATTTCAGCGATACTGATTTTTTACACTAATGGAGCTCCTGTCACATTACAACTGGCCCTAATAAAAATTCTAACTTCTTTTCCCTTAGTTTACCCCTTAATTTGTTCCATTCAGCAATCTAGGCAGACATCTTAACAAAAACATCTAATAAGAGATTACAGAGCATGCTATCTTATTCTAATTTATAGAATGCAACACATGGCACATTAGGTTATTCCTTTCCAAAGGGACTACTTAATAAAAACAGGAAAACAGCACCTATCTTCTTAAAGTGTATTCAAGTGAATATTTTCACAGGTAAATTTTTTCACTGCAAATTAAGATAATACTGCAGCAGAAGAGGGAAACATTATTTTAAAATTCTTTTTCCTGTGAAATCCAAGTTGCTGCTTATTCATGAACTGTTGGAATAAAGATAACCACCCTTTAGTACTCCAATCTGTTATGAGACAGTGCTTGTCAAGAAGTCCAGCTGCTTTTTAAGCAAATCTTTCACTTTAGTTTGGTAGCCTACAGGGCACAATTAGGTATTGTGATGAAGCTACAATGAATATGGCTTTCCTATGCTGATAACATCATTAAGTTTCAGGCAATCTGACAACTGAGGGCGTTACAATCCTGCAGATACATCAAGTAATACATCTTTGCACACACAGATTACATATCAAATTATTGCCGTAGCACAAACCTGTTCCATTATGTATCTTATATAGGACAATTAGGACATACCTGTGCTACGTTATGAAACAGACAGCTACCCAAACCAAGTAGACAGGTTTTACTTAATACCACTAAATTTGTAGGTAGCCTTTCTCAAACATATCTAACAATACAACTCAGTGTTTGAGTATATTCTGACTAGGAATGCATTGTAATATTTATGTAAGAAACAGGACTGTGCTAAATACCAATCGGTACAAAGATTTTCCGTGCCTTTCCACAGAAGCTGAATTGCAGTGCTGGAATGACAATTTGCTGCTGTCTTATTCAGTCATCAGCAAAATTACATCAAAAGACTTACTTAAAATTCACAGTCAAGATGATAGAGGAAGTTTTTCCAACAGTACTAATTTTGGTTTCAAGTTTAAAGTAAAAGGAGGTAGCGCAGTAAGGTTCAACCCAATTTTACTGATGCCAGGTATATTTGCCAGTGGCCTGTGGGTTGTCTTGTAATGTGATATTTGAAGAGGGTTTGTTTCCATCAGTATGTGTGTGTAAGAAAACATCAACTGGTCTCCTGGTTTAACATCTTCTCTTTTGTCATACCTGTGAAGAATAAAGAAGGCTTATTTACATTCCTCTCTTTACCTATTAAACATCTCCATTATCACAAGGGCATGTAGCATCCAAGATGAAACGCAAAAGGAACTGTAACATTCTCAGTTATATCTCTTGATTAAATTAGCTAGCACTGGAGAAGGAAATAGTATTTTTGAAGAGTTTAGGGAGCCAGTCATTCCATGCAAGTCTTTCTCTGCTATTGTGATATAAATCAGGACTCCTAAAAAATTTCTCACTAGTCCTCTATTTGAGTTCTGTAAAGAAAGGTCACCAAAGCCTAAGACTGTAGAGAACTGGACTCATTTTTAAAGCTTTACCGTACAAAAATTGCAGTTTGGGTAAGTGTGGTGTTGGGGGTTTTTTTGTTGGTTTGGTTTTTCTTTTTTTTTTTTTTTAATTACAAAAAATGTTATGAGGCACTTTAGCAGAAACCCTTCTCTTCTGGTAGTCATACATTGAAGTAGGAGCCTCAGAGAACAGTGGGGAGAAGACTTCCTTGAACACTCTAGGAAAGAAAGAACAGCCTGGCAATTACAGAATTAACTTGGCACTTGTTATTTCTGGATTCAGTCCCCTGATCTACTACATGTTTGGGCAGGTCACTTTGGGCCAGCTTTTATAAACCTGTTTAGGTACCTAAATATATATAAATTATATAAAAATATTTATATAAAAAGTAACTAGCAAGTTCTAAAACTATTTAACATGTACAGTTACAGTTATTTCTTAAAAGGAGTTATATTCAATCTAGCTGTAGAGGGAATTTACAGGATGAGAAAACAAGTGACTTAAGCATTTGGCAGGGATGTGAAAGATCTAGGTTCAGCCGCTCTCCGTCTGATCTAAGCCCAGAACTGAAGTTTGTTATCTGACAGAGCTGTATGAACCTCTCTAATTTTCCAGAAATTGAGGTAATCTCCCTCACTGTTTCATGAAGACACTGTCCTACTTCGCAATAGTTATTTATTTGTTCACTGAAGAGAGTCAGGCAAATTTATAGCCCAAGGGTTAGGATGCTTATATTGGACATGGCAGCCTGATCAAGTCCTCAATCAAACAACTTCAAAGGGGAAGAATAAGGTAAGTCCACCCCAAAACACTCTGTAGACCACTGTTAAGTGTGCTTCCAAAAGTGGGAGACCTGGACTCAAATCTTTGCTCCATATCCCAGAAAAAATATTCTCCACTAACACTGGGTAACACTCCAGAAGAGAGAGGTTAAAATGGAGGTTACTTACCTTTAGTTTGTTTATGACAAGATAGTCTTAGGCATCTAAGTATAAAAGAGTGTCCATGCTCTGTAACTCAGGTGAAGAGCAGTGCCCAGTTCTTCACCCTTTCTATTGCCCTTTTCTATGGACTGTTTTCTACCAGCTTTTGGAGCTCCTATTCTTATGCACCTGATTCCTCCCATGCATTTCACAAGCAACTTACTCAAGGCAGTGGCTTTTCTCACAGGCATGGACACTGGTAGGGAAGTGCTGCAATCCCAACCCTACATTACCCTTAAATGCACCTAGGAGTAAATCCAGGCTGCACCTTTCGCTATGTGTGTCTTTGCAGGCCTGGCCTCTCACCTGCCTGAATTCTCTGTGAAAAACTGGAAACAATCTCCATTTATATTTTTACAACATTCCCTGACATAGCACTCGTTAACATTTAAGATATTTAAAGCAAGTACTCTACAGCAAACTAGAGGATTTGCATGGATTGTTAACTAAAATTTTGGCAACCCAGAACAGACCCCAGGCTGACAAAATCCAGAGAAGTCAATAAATACACCATATAATGCAGAAGACTTTGCACACTGAACAAGTGCTTTCTTCTTCAAAAAAAATTGCACGCTAATTTCATCTGCTATTTCCAAAAAGATCACAATACCACTTAGGATGGTACATGCATCCAAACTGGCAGAAGGAATGACATACGTCACAACAACTTTACCAACTACTAATTTTGCATTTTCTTCATCAGCAAATAAAGGGCCTTTCATCTGACTGCAAGCATTTCTGAATTTTATTATTTTTAAATACTTTAAGCTTACACAGCATGTTTATTCCTGGTTCAAAGAGACTGCACTAATTGAAGACAAGATTGTAACACCTGTTCTGCGTAAGAATCTGCATCAAGCTTCTTTCAATCACCCTTTGAAGAAAAATAATAGATCACTTGCATTTTTCTTGAGGCAAATAGATCTAATCTGAGCACACCACTGAAAGCTGTTAACTTTAAGACACTTTTATTTATGGATTGTAGTTATCCTGATGAATCATCAGCCTTCATATCCACTCCATCCATAAATCTGTTTTCACCTGATGTACACAGCCTATGAAGATGGTAAATTAGTTTTCACCCATCTGAAAGGCTGTCACTTCCTTGGATAAAGAGAAAATGGGACAGCTGGTGCCACTAAACTTTGTGCTATTGTGCTGTCAAAGTGTAGTCCTGTGTATGATGCTCGGTTGTGGATTTTGCCTTATTTTTTTAATGTGAAACGTTATGATGAATCAGCCCTCCCCTGAGGCTTTTTTATGATGAGTAAAGATAAAAGTGAGAGAAACAAACTGCTCTGTAGCTGCAACACTATGAAACATCCATCAGTGACAGGGATATTATTCATTCACCTTCCAAACCCACTACACTACAGCCTTGCAAGCCCAAAACAATCCAAAACCCACCACCTCAAAAAGCTCATTGAAATTAAGCATTGTATTTAGAGAGTAGAGTTGTATTTAGAGGAGCGTGTGTACTGAAGTATATTCAAAAAACAAAGATTGGAACATTTTAGCTATCATGTGTGTTCTATCACTTGTACTCTAATAGTTTAATATCTCCTCCTGACTGTTCATGGCTTAAGACTTTCTCTACATTGAACATGCAAAAAACAATTTGAAATAAACATTGAATTGGTAACTGTGAAGGCAATTCAGCTTTAAACTGTCTGTACCATCACAATATTATGAGAGAGCACAGAAATAAAATACGGCATAGCAAGCTCGATGATTTTTATGATTTCCCCAGAAGCATACTTTTCCCTTCTTCCTCTTTAGTTACAAAACACTTTTCTCTCTAAACATACCAATAATTAAATTATGTTTGTTAATCTGATCCTGAAGACTGTCACTGGGGAAAAAGAACTCCATGCTCAGAATACTTCTTAAACCAAAATCTGCTTGTATTGCTTTTGTTTTGTGCAAGTATGAAGTGAGGCTTTGTGTCACTTTCTGCTGAATCATTTTCATTAAGATGACATTTTAAATCAGAAACCTACACTTCAGCTGAAGAGGTAGGCCTAAGAATCAGAAAGATGGCTTTTTTTTGGTCTGCATCCCGAAAAGCAAACGATGCCATCCCACAAATGTCTCCTACTATTCATTTCAATATTCTGATTCTTAAAACTGTTTGTACATCACTGCTGGTCATCATAACAAAGCACTCAACTGCTTTCTCTCAGAGCCAATGAATGTGACCGACAGTCCACAACAACGGCTTCAATGCCACCTATGTCCGGGATGTTCCACATAAAAACAGACTTTGAATATTAATACGCAGATAAGCCTCACATGCCACACATCATTCAAAAACAAAGTGAGAAGACACCCCCACAACTATATACACCGTTCTGCCAAGAGCAGAAAAATGTTCATCTACAGCTGTGTTTTACAAGATCTAGTGAGATATTAAATGTAGCTGCATTAAAGATATTGCTGTTTTATTGAGCTAACAATTTTTTTGCACTGTTTCTGATGTCTCTAAAAGATTCTACGCTATTTAGGCAAACCAGAACCAACCAAAACAATTAAAAAATGTTGCAGTGCTCTATTTCTGAAATCGCAGCACTGCACACATCAAAATTCTGAAGATTCACATTGTTCTTGACCTGGCTTAATAAATATGCTGTACCAGAAACCGTATCTGTGATGCTTGCCCCTGTGCATATGCAAAAAAGGAATAAGCAGGCTCCTGTCTTTAGATCAAAATACCTTGTTCATAACATACCTCCAATCTGAATTGATTTCTAGAAACCGAGAAACTCCTGTTTGTGCTGCAGCCATATCAATATGAACAGAGACGTCTACGTAAACAAAGAAAACAAAATACAATTTCAAAATTCTTCTAAGAACACTCTGATTAATAAATTAACAAAACAGTAACAGAGACAATGCATGTAAATAGCGTGAAGAAGCAGTATCCAATACATGTAAAGATATACTAGCAGAAAAAAATTGCAGTTGAAATTAGGCGAACAAACCTCAAACCAGCTTTACATACCTGCTGTTGAAGGTACCAACTCATGCAACTTCTGAATTGCCACTCCTCCAGGATAATTGAAATGTGAAACATATAAAGATGTTCCTGAATAAGCAGCATTAACTATAAGATGTGTTATAACAAAGAAAGATCCAAGTTTGTACAGCCAGGATTTCCGGTAGTTATTCAGACTATTGAGGGGGGGAAAAATGAGTGAGAATAAACTGTTATTCTTCTGTCATACTGGTCATTGACTATTGTGACAGAACTTTTATGAAAACTCCACTGCTAGGTAATAAAGATTAATGCAAACTTTATTTCAATCATGTGTATGGAATGCCTTTATTATCCATTTCTAAAAGACTAGCTTCTAGTGGCATTTAAATTAGAATCTTCCTATTAACAAAGCTAATAAATGCTCATCAATAAAGCTAAGTATTTCTATATTTAAAAACTTTAGCTATGAATGTATTGTCTTTCAAAGAAGTTCAGAGTTTAACTTAAATTTGTTTACTCAATATACCCAAGTTTAACTATTTAATACAAACACCACATTTCATGAGCCCCACCTGTATATTAAATTACCTCCTAGGGTAAGTTATGTTAGCAACACAGTAGTACACTGGAATGCGTCTTTTTCGCTGGTGGATAAAATACACTGTATTGTAACAGCATGACAGCAAAATCGGGGCTCTATTCTCAACTCTGCCCCAGACTTGCCAAATGGTCCTGTGAAATCATTTCCCTCATTAGTCGAATGGGTACGACGATACAGACCTCCTTTCTAAAGCACATGAAGATCTCAAGATGATCCAGATTCCAAGATGGAAAGAAGTGCATAAAACCAGTAATAACAGTTTTGTTTTTCTTTTGCATTTTCAGAGAAAAAAAATAAACAGAATTTTGAACTTACATTCGTGAGCACATTTTAGCGGCCACTATGTTGAAGACAGGGAAAGTATATATGATAAAACGCAGCTCTTTGTGTGGGAGAAACGAATATAAGAAAATAAAGCCCAGTGCTGGCAGAAGTAATATCCGAGTTCTCTTTTCTGCTATACCCAAAGGTACAAATATAATGCTGCATCCCAAAGCACGAGGCAGGGCTGAATAGAAATACCACAAGAAGGGGGAGGTCTTCAAGATGAAAAGGAGAGTTAAGGATGCTTTCACTGCTGACAAGTAAGGTAACTATTCTTTACAGTAGTACAGGCAAATTTTGCAAATATACAGTATACTTTTTGTATATTGCATTCTTCCAGGCATTTGGTTTTCTGCCTTACCCTTTGAGAAATAAAAGCAGTTGCCTAACTGCATTCACATCACCAAACAGGCATATCAAATGGTGCTAATGATGAGCAACATGAAAACCCACGGGGAAGAAACCTGGCTTTACATTGGTAGAACACAAAGAAGCAAGAAGGAACAGTCAGCAGAGGAAAGTTAAAATTTACGGAAAGATCTAAGAAACAGATATTGTTTCATAAGCTTCAAATAATGAAACACTAGATGAAAAGTAGAATTTAACACCATAACTGAGTCTCAGGAATAGGTTACATCAAGTCTTTGCTTTGGCTGGTAGTGTTCAATAGGTCTTTCTCCCTGGATGTTTCAAAGGATACTCCCCAGTTGGAACTTTTGTTCAAAATTGTGTTATACCAGAGCACTTTCCCCTCAGGCCACACAAGTTGCCTCCAAAAAAGAGAATCCACAGCAACTGTTAGCCCTAAAAGAATTAAAGAAATACAAATGTGCATGTATTAAAAACTAGGGAAAAGCAAACGAGCACATCCAAACTGCACATTTACTGATGAGATCAACATAAACTGGAACACGCATTGTAAGCCTCACCCAAAGCCACAGGGAAGGTTGAATCTGTCTGTCTTGCAGTGGAAATGCAGGGGAGGGAGGCACTTCTTAACAGAAGTCTTAATAGACATACATTGGATAGGAATCTGATTGAGATTCACCCCTCTCCAACCCCAGGTGTGAAAAGCAGTGGTTTAATTAAAAGAATATTAGAGCATTAAATTTAATGAATGGTAAGAAACCCAGGTTAACTTCAAATGGTACTAAATGGATTTTTACTGTAAAGCTGGTAAGTTAAGAAAAACAATCTCTAGAAGTTTGCTACTATTTATTAGGTGGGAGGGAAGAAGGAGGACAAGGGATGAAAGGCAAAAAGACAGCAGAGCAGCAAATCCGTCAGCCTCATCTCCTCCACTCAGCTCTGTGAAAACTGCTCTGGTATTTAAGAAGTTTGCCCAGAGAGGGAATGGGAGTACCCGTGACTAACTCCTGTCGGACCTCCAGATTCTTAGGCTGTGAGGTGCCTCCAACTGCACATGGCATGATCTTTTATTGTTTCTACTGTCCACGCTGTGGAAGGGACAGCACACTACCAGAAGTCATCAGGCATCTGACAACACCATTCTCAATTAGGTAGGCTGGCAGAGAAGCTTAGAGTATTTACGCACACATGCATGAGCCTTCCATGGATGGGTAGAGACAAGGAGATTTTTCAACCTCTCTAGCATGGATAATCACTTAAACTATTAAAATTCATGTAATAAAGAAACAGAGCTGAACTGTGACTCTCCCCACAACCCTCTTGCTCAGTATCCCTGTCTGTGACACTGTTGTATTTCATCCTGGGATTCGGTTTATCGTCATGGCAGTAGATACTACAGCTGATAATGCACATGTAGCTACAGCCAGGTACTAATTCTACTAAAGTCAACTTGCATGTCTAAGCTTTTTTAAGACCAGGATGTTATACTGTAAGCATCTAAAGGCAGAGGTCACAGTATCTTTCTACTGCTCTGTGCACACCTATCTCCTCACAGGGAATTTTTAAAATAAATAAATACCCTTGTCATATTACCAGCAAATGGAATCAGATGGGGGGGGGGAAGGGAAAAAAGAAAAAAAAGCCCTAAGGGACACATCACTAGAGAAGTCAGTCAAATCTCCAGACTTCTACTGAATTTACTATGTGGCATTTATTTTTTTCCAAGCAAACACTTACCCAACCAAAAAATTCCAGCAGGAACAGCATGGGAAAGGACCTTGAAAATGGAGATTCTTTTAGTTAATAACGTCACCAGGAGCATGAGGCCCAAGAATATGCAGAGCTCTGATCTGAAGACTATAATTGCCAAAGCTGAGAACCAAATGAATGGCCTTTGCTTTTGCTGGATCCAAAACGTCAATGCCAGGAGCACTGCAAAAATAAAGCACACCGTCTGACACTCTGAACTGTTCACTTTCTAAAGGGCAACAAATTTTCTCAATGCTAGCGGCTTGTTCCTCTAACTTCCCACCAATCCTCTCTTGGTCTTCCTACCATTTCTAGTCCAGAAATTCTTCCTCTGTTAGAGAAATGTAGTTTGGAATAACACATAATTTTCTACTGTTGATGCTTAAATAATTAGGAAAAGCATAACCACAGAAGGAACACATGACAACTCTTCCTAGACAGTATATTTAATAGCTTTTAGGGAAAGAAAAAAAACCAAACCAAACCTTAAGGGAGTACTAAAAGCCTTTCAAACTAAGATTCATAATTATTATTGCTCAGCATCAGCTGAAGAGTTAGTTTGTTCTCTTGGCTGAGTATGTCCCGTATTCATGATACCACCACCCCATTTCAAATATGAAAGAGACTATGGAGTACCGGGAAAGAAAAAAAACCAGAACAAACCTTAAGGGAGTACTAAAAGCCTTTCAAACTAAGATTCATAATTATTATTGCTCAGCATCAGCTGAAGAGTTAGTTTGTTCTCTTGGCTGAGTATGTCCCGTATTCATGATACCACCACCCCATTTCAAATATGAAAGAGACTATGGAGTACCGCTCAGGGAGAAGAAACCATAAATCCATTTGCATGGTTAGCTGGAGACACACCCTGTCTCTACAGATGAAGTTGCCTCTGCTTTTTCACAGTTTTTAAACACATGGTAATGCTGACTACATAGTAAAGTGGTCATGATCCTAAGGGAAATGTGTGAAAAATTAATAGTACAAAACCATGAAACAACTTCTATTTTTTAATACTTGAAGAAATTACCTGAGAAGTTTATTACTACACAGTGTTTATCTGCAATTCAACTGGTTTTTGATTTGTTTTTCAGTTCTGATCTACACAGGTTCTTACATCAACCTCATGATTTTCTTAGTTGAACAACTTGCACTGAAGCATTAAGTGACTCAACTAATATCTGTCACGTGTGGTTAATCTTCCCTCTCCTCATCTCTGGGGAAAAACTGTAAGTGTAGACTAAGGTTTTGACTTTGATATTTTTTCCCCCTTTACTTTAAAATGTACAAAATACTACATTTGTAGTTAACTCCAGAAGAGGAAGGCAGAGAGGTTGTGGTGGGAGTTTGTTCCACAGTCTCATGAGAAAGCTGTTTCCTGTGTAGACTAAGTTCACAGATTTTTTTTTTTTGAACTGCAGGTGTACCTACTGCCTTTTCAATAGCTCTATGTTTTATGCATCAGATATGTGTACTCAAACCTCTAGTTAACCAAAGCCATCTGACAAACACCACATATACTCAGATTCAATAAAACTTGATTCAACAGTCATTGTAAGCATATATGGTAAAAAACACAGAAAGAAATCACAACTGCTTAAGTTTTCTAGTCTTGTTACCACACAATTTAATCAAGCACGTATATTGATTTGGTCTGATCACGTATTTTCTGTGCTTTAACTATTGATACATTTGAGAAAAATTTTTATATTTTAAAATTATTTCTATGTGAATACTTACCAAAAGGAAGTGCAAACACATTAGGGAGGGTTCGTGTACAGTAAAACATCAAATGAAACTGAGTAACAGTGATGAGACAGAAGATTGTTGATGTAGTTGCTCCAAACTGCTTTCTAACTTCTTTCTGCAACTTCCATAGTGTGTAAATCACACTGAGCCCCAAGCTTCCTCGGACTATTAGAAGAATAGAAATGGGAAATAAGAGTAATATCAGAGGGATCACTGATGAACAACCATGTTACACAATGTAACGGGAAGAAGTTATGAAGAATAATACTGAAGATATCACAATATAACCCACTTCAAAAAAAAACCAAAAAAACAAACAAACACAAAACTTCCCCATTAGTTTATCTATTTTAATCCACCTTCAACTTCTCTGATACTTTTGCACAAAGGTCAATGCTTCTGTGCCCAAGTTAAACAATATTTTCTGAAGCATACACGAAGTACACATGAGAGCGTATTCTCTGAAGACACTTGTTTTTTCTACACTGTGTGACATTTGTTAGCACAGACTTTCTCTGTGCTGTTAGTTACTCCAAAGAGGGGGTGGAATTGCCATGCTGGCTCTAAGCACCTACAGTCTGCAAAATCCCTCATTAAGGAAAAGAATATCACGTTTTAACCACCGATCCAAACCCTGAATGTTACAACAATGTCATCCATTAGTCCAGTAGTAAAAACATCTCCACTCTGACGACTTAAAGTTCTCATACCTATCAGCTGGGAGTAAAACTTGGACATTCTTAGCACAGAAAGTACATATATAGCAGGGCTGGAAAGAGCAGCAATAAAAATCGGTCCAAGAAACGTTCTTGGGACAACTCCAGGAAATTCATGATGGTCATACTGCAAAAAGGAAAATCTAATTAAGACAGGCAAATCAGAAACAAAGGAAAACTGGGATAAATTATATTCATATTCCATTTATCCTATTCATATAGCAAGGAATTGCAATCTTTAACAGTGTCCAAGAAAGAACACGTTCTTTCCAATTTACCTTATCCAAGTCCAGCTGGTGGTACACCACATCATGGATAGCTTGTAGGTTAAAGCTTTCCTCCACTTTTGTAAAAGGACAGACAGTTAAATGAACAAAGGCCACAACAATAATCAGAAGCAGCAATGGGAATGACCGCCCACTCGAGCTCCTCTTCTGAGCCATACTGGGTTCAAAATTCACATATATTCTATTATTATTAAAAAGAAAATTAAAAGAAAATATATTAATAACATGGTATGAAGTGTACAAACAGAAAAAGAGAGACTGATAATGCAAGGAAAACATATTACAGTACTGTAAAAGTTTAAACAAAGACTAAGAAATTAAATAATCCATCCAATTTTTTTTTTAATATATATACATTCAATGAATTGAGTAGATAGCCAAAAACATATTCAGGCTGCATTTCAGGATTTATGCCACCTTTTGCAAATGTAAAGGTTTTAGTTTTCACCTAAAAAAACTCAGACAACATAGACTCTACTTAAGAAAATACTTCCCTTTGCGTCCCATACTGCCACCACTGCTGAGAGTACCACCTCAATTATGTCTGTGTTTTGTGGGAGAGACAGCTTTGTAACTTACTCTCACTTTAATCTCACACTGGATTTACACATGATCTTTAGAACATACTCTCTCGTTTGTCTAGGACTCTGAAACAAGTGGGAGAGGAACCACGAGGATGAGAAATCACTCGGAACGGAGTACTTTGATCTTCTGACCTTTCCAGCGGCTAGCTGGACTCAGCAAGTGAAGGACAAATGCCCTTCGGCACCCACACCACGCGTCTTTACGGCGTGAGGTGGTCCGAACCCCATCCTTCGCACTCCTACCCAGAAATGAAGGCCATCTCTCCCGAGCGCTTAGTTTCACAACACTGTGCTAAGCATTCTTATGGCAGTACTTACGATGTATTTTATCATGATAAATCATGCGTCCAGGTGATGCCAGAGCAAACAAAGCATAGGTGTTGTCATGGGTAAACAGTTCATCTTTTCTAGTTTCAGATTATAAAGCAGTAAAAAAAAGTTATTTTCCATGACCATTTCCAGCAAAATTTGGTAATCTATTTCATGTTCTTTTAATTTAAGCATCCCACTTTTTGCTAAGTTCACAATTCAATAAAAGACAAGAGATTTTGGTTATTGTTATTCTTGTTCTGTTCTTACAGAAACAAAACTTTAAAAATAGCACCTTTAAGGTACAACTGGGGTTTTGGTTGGTGAAGTTTTCTCCTGTGTTTTGGTCTAAATATGTCCATTAAACAGATGTAAGATAGTTGGCAGATTTGCTAGGATCACTTAGCAACTGCTTCCTAGAGTTACCTTTTCCTGAATTGATGATTGTCCTGCTCCTTAGTAAAAATAAATAGAGTGAGCTAATGTTCCTTTTTTTCACAGCTAACACCAATAAATCCCAAAACTTGTACACTTACTGTAAATTGCATGTATCTGCATATTATTTTATACATCGCACTGATTGCATCTCTTTCTCACAATTGCTGCTGTTACAGACTGTAACTGAAGCTCTAACCCCAGGCTCAAAGACAGTTCTGTGGTAGGTCCGTACGATTTTTGGCTTGTTTTGCAATGTTAAGGGCCTAAATAAACATAACATCCCAGGAAGTGCAAAGAAGCCTTTTTAACCTGTGCCTAGTACTACTTCTTTACAAGGCTGGATAAAAATGGCTTATGCTACGACAGAATCCTTTTTCCACAGCAGTAGTAAAAGAGGTACGGGACTGCCATCAGGAGCACTTCAAGCCTCTGCACAGAGCAATTTATCATGTACATATTCTTGTCTCTAAAAAGCTCTCTTGCTGAATTCTTCCAATAAATACAGAGGCATCTCACGTTTCTGGCCAAACTTACCCAAGAGAAAAATGGACACTGAAGGACCAATAATATAGTAGCATATAGCAGCACAGGCATTCGAGTAGCTTGTGTGTCATGTGAAGCAGCATCTAATACACCAGCAAGGTAGGTATTCCTCACTCCCAATTTGCAGCTTCTTAACACTTCAGATATTTTAGGACCCAATGAATCCTTGTGAAAGTGCCAAGAAGCTCTATTTTTTCCTTCTTAACTGTATCAGTTGTGTAATAAAAAGATGTTATCTTCACCTATTAATATTGCATTCGTTATACTCTGACCACTCTACCATATAGCCTGCTCCTGATATCTTTAGCTGATCACCAGATGAATAATCAGTCCCCAACTTCCTAAATCATCAGAATGACAATGAAGCGATGTATCCCATACACAGTTTATCACAAGGCTTTTTTTAATCTTGTTGACACCAATCCTTTTGTATGCCTGAAGAAAGTAAGCTTGCCAGCACACTCATACATTTTGAAGATAATTATATGCATTATACATACTGAGATTCCCTGAAGGGAAACATGTTAGAAGATAAAAAAAACAAAGCATGAAGACAACACCTACGTTTCTGAGATAAAGCCTAATAAATTTAGTGGTCTTGTCAAGACTCAAGATAACTTGCTCTGTTGAAAACTGATGCTGACAAATCTCAAAATTCCAGTGGAATTTATCAAGACAGGTAGACACTGAATTTGATGTTTAAAATAAATTTGCTATATAAAGGCAAAATACTTGCAATTACAGCTTTTATTTTTAAATGCTAAAAACACAGAAACAGATTCTCACTTAATAAAAATATTTTAATAATGAAGGTTAGAGGAATATCGTAAGCGAATACAAATAGTTTTATCCATCATTAACGTTCCAACAACTTTAGAAGAATCTTCCTCAGACCTGTACAACATAGCCACATTGACTCCCCCCCAGATGTCTACATCAGGACTGAATCACAGAAGAGCAGAGATTTTTCAGCACAAAGAATTCATCCTTTCCTGGGATTAAACTGGGTGAAAACAAATCATTTTCTTACATTAAAAAAAGGCTGAAGCACTTTCATCAAAAACGGTTTATTCTTTTTCTATACTTTGTATATGGAAGGGTCATTAGCTCCAATAATAGACTTTTTACTCTTCCCATGGAATATTTAGCTCACTTATGTTTTTCAGACACTCTTCAGTATAAATATGTTAGAGTTTGGCAGCCAAACTGCATGTCGAATCTGTCTACAGCGACTGCATTTCACTCCCTCACACGCTCTGTATGGAGGCACCTCAGCAGAACGACCAAGAGCATCCCACCATAAGGTCCTCCCTCTTTGGCTTGATCTAGCTTTGGTAAAACCTGTGTTGTAGTCTCTTGCAATTTGCATGTGTTTTTCCTACGCTTTAATAGTTCTAAAGCTAACTTCTGAATGAGGTCAGATTTAAACCTCGTAGTTGCTGGGATTGCTTTTTCTTCTTTTCTAAGAAGGAACATGACAGTTGCAATGCTTATATACATTTCCTCACGAGTTTGGGGACTGGCTAAAAAAAAAAACTAAGACAAAAAAAGAGAAGAGAAAGTTGGGGCAGGAAATGAAGTCTGGGACCGCGCCAGATAGGAAGGTGCGACGCGGCTATGTAGAAAATATCACTCTTCGGACTGGGGAAGAAACACACCGAAAGCTCTCGACTTAAAAAAAAGACCCCAACCCACACCAAGCCGAGCCCGCTCCCACCCCGCCGGCG